TGAATATCGTAAGTTGCATTTCTAACATCCCCGTTTATTGCTCCTATCTCTGCAAATCCGGTTTCAGTTTCCGGCTGGATTCTGGTGCATTGAGTGCACTGAGTCGTCCATCATCGGTAAAAATACTTTGTGTGTTTGGTTATATATGTTGAATTATCGTAAGTCGCATTTCTAACATCCATGTACTGAGCAACTTCAACAGGTAGCAGCGGACCGAACCTAATCGCTTCTTATTCAACGTCATCGATTTTTCTCTCGGTAAACACGCTCATGTTAGATATATAGGCCCGATATGCGTGCAGCTGTTCTTTGTTTTGAGGAATGCTGGTCTGGTCTTGGTTGTTTTACATGGTCTTGTTAATCGTTTATGTTTGTTTGAATGAATTGCTATTTGTTTATCGTGCATTTTGATACGTTATTGTTTTCCGCTTCATGATAAAGGATTCTGGATGTTAAGTTCAGGATTGATCGCTGGAAAAAGAAGCTGGGATTGGGGATTTCTCATTAGGCAATTTGTATTCTTTGAGTCTCGTTTCTAGGGTTTATGAGGCGTGCTATTTTTATCAGAACTAGGTTTAGTTTGTTTGACATTTTAATATGGCCATGTTATAGCTTTCTGGTAGAGGGTTCTGGCTGTGAAGACCAGGACCGATCATTGCAAAAAGGAGGTGTTTTCTAGGATTTCTAACTAGGCATTTATATTTTTTTAGCTTAAGTTAAATGGTTTACAGAGAAATTTTTTTCTTGGAGATGAAGGATGGTTTTTTTAAATGAAATGGTGTTTATTTAGTTTAGATTTTAATAAGGTTTTGTTTATAGCTTCGTGATGGAGGGTTTTGGTCATTACGTTCAGGATTGATTATTACAAGAAGGATGTGGGTCGAGGATTTCTGACTAGGCACTTGTATTATTTGATTCTCAGTAATAGGGTTTAGGAGGCATGATTCTTTTTAAATGACTCGTCGTTTGTTTTCTGGGATGTTGATAAAATCCTGTTTATTAATTTGCGATGGAGGTTTTGGTTGTAGTTCAGAATAGATTACTGCAAGAGGGATCGGGCTCAATCATTTCTTTCTTTTTTTTTTCTTTTTTTCAGACAAGTGGTAAAAGATTTCTGATTTGGCATTTGTATTCTTTGAGTCTCGTTTGTATGATTTATGAGGGCATGATATTTTTAAATGAATTGGTATTTATTTATTTGACATTTTAATAAGGTCTTGTTATAACTTCATGATGAAGGGTTTCATCGTTAAGTTCAGGATTGGTTACTGCAAAAAGGAAGTGGGGTTTAGGATTTGTGATTAAGCATTTCTATTCTTTGAGTATTGGTTACAGGGTTTATAGAGGCGTGATGGTTTTTTCTTTTGTTGTCATATCTCTTTTTAGTAAGAGGGATATAGAATTATAGATTGATTGTATAGCCAGTAGGTACATATAATCTAATTCAGGATTGTGCTTCGTTTCGCTGTTTGAGTTCGTGCATGTTGACTTTGTTGTTCTTTCTCTTTTCTTGTTCTGTTTTCATGGTATTTTGTTTGTCTCTTACGTGTCAAGGACTCTTCTCTCTTTCTTGAAAGGGAAGCATGGTAGCTGTGTTTTGATATAGGGAAAGGAAACATGAAAACAAAGTATAAATATGGATTGTGGAGTTTCGAGCAGGAAGGTAAAATGAAAAGCAAACATAAATATAGGTGTTAGAGATAAACTTGAAGCAGTGGGGATGATTTATTCATTTATTTTCGCTATTAGGAGCCATTTAGTAGAGTACGAGTGGGAAGGTAAATGAGAATCGTCAAGAGTAAAGACAAGTCATTTATGAGAATTCAAATGAATCCTGCTGAAGTGACAGAATATATTTGATACATGCAACTATCATGGAAAAAGTACTAAAAAAAAATGAACTATTGAGAGCCTTATTTAGCAATGCGTTAAAAGTACGTTTAAATAGTAAGAGGTAAAAACCATTCATATCATTGTTGGAATGCATGATTAATCTGTTATCTGATGAAAGTTCATGCACGAATATTGGAAACTCAACCAGGATCTATGGGTTTGGGGTTGAGCTTGTTTTTAAGGAAAACTTAAATTATTTTAGGTTTGTTCTCAAAAGTGCATTGTTTTTTTGCGGTGCTTGGTTGAATATGTTTCCAAGTTTGCTTTTTATCATGTTCTTTTCCTTACTTTATTTTTCTTAATGTTAGATTCTGTAAGTATGTAGGTTTTGAGTACGTATGGAAATATTTACATGGATATTAAGGGTTTCCTTTCATACTACATACGCGGAAATGTTTATGTAGGGTTAGTGGGTTTCCAGATGCATTAATGTCGTTTGTATTTGTCCATTTTGCCCCTTGGAACAAAAACAAATAAGATCCTCAGTAAATAAATGTAATAATTCTGCTTTTAAAGAAATATAATGGCCAAATTCTTCCATATTTGCTATGGATTGTTCACTTGTCATCCCTCTCTCTTAACTAAAGTTGAAAAGATTCCTAAATTACTACGTATTTAAATGTAATTATAACCACGAATCTCTACTTTTTCACTTGGGAACTGTACATGTTTTGCAAACTGTCCACTGTAAAAACTGTTAAATAAGTTTTCTTCCTCTAGTAGCTATATCCAACTTTGCATGAGTCACTTTTTTATGTTTCATCCCAAATTCACAACCACTCATTCGAGCATGTCCTTCATAGTTCCCCTGGTCTGTCACTTACACCAGTATTCTTGGCTTCAAAGTTTAAAACTTCATGATTTCTGCTGGAGTTACTGCTAACTTCTGGGAGTTGCATATTAATGGTCAGTACTCTCCATCTTCTTCATGCAGAACATAGAATAGAACCTTTGTCCTCTTATGACCAACTTCCATTTTTTTTCCGAAAAGAAAGAGACTATCATTAATATTCAAAAGGAAGTTAGGGGTGTCATATGCATACAAAAGATTTACAAAAATAGATATCAAGATATCGATAATGTGCCCTAAGTTCTCAGAGAAGAATGGATGACCCATAAGAGAAAATGTGAAGGGTCTGGAACCAAGACTATTTAACTTTGGTCAAAACTGTACCAATTGCGCTCACAAGTCTTTCTATCCTTTGCTTTCAAATGACCAAAAACTAGAGGGGTTAAATGGAGACGCAAGTTTTTCGCAGCCCTATTGGGCTATCCCTAGAGATGAAATATTCAAGGCCAAACTTAGCGAAAACAGAATCAGTCAACTAACACTGAAGAGCTGAATTGGCACGAGTATAGTCATTAGAACACCACAGATACAGATGATTCTCTGACTCCTCAGCTTTCAAGCACAAGAAGCAACCATTAGGAGGAAGGTGGCTTCCCTTTCTTAAACCTTTCATTTTTGATGCATTCAAGGACTTCTTGATGTTCCTCAACTTAGACGCAAGATCTATTTTACCTAATAAATACTCGTAAGTAACTCAAATTTCTTTTAGATAGATGTATTCATATGTTAGGTAATGTTTATGATGTAACTGGAGAAGATAAGTTAGTCCTTTTATCCTTTTACCTGTCTATATTCATTATCAGTGTCTGTATTTTGGATTTTCTTTTGTACTTGGCTTGAATTCGATGTTGGCAATTTTTTAGAATTAGATATTTGATCAGTAAGGATCTTACTTTCCCCCTTTGGCCGGAATAAAGAAAGAAAAAGAAATAGAGGAAGCTACAGCTGAAAAGAGAAAGAACCCTACTCATGAATAGTAAGTCACAACTTACATGGAAGCATATCACTGTTCAAATATGGTCCTTAAATAGTCTGTGCAATGCTGTTGACAGAAGATAGATTAGAACAGGAGATCTGATGTAGTTACCATAGGCAGCAGTGATTGGAATGGAACGGAATGCTGATATAGCAATGGACTTGGCTAAATGATATGCAAGTTATTGGTGTCCCCTAGGGTTGATTGACAGTGTTTACTATTAATATTTTGCCTCATGTATTCCTGTATACCTTCGGGTTGCGACAGTGTGATTGAGCAGGTAAACACTATCAATGA